CCCCCGCTCCTCGCCCCCCCCGTGGCCCCGGAGCGGCTTCCCCGGCCCGTTCCCCACCGCCGTCACGCGCATCAGGGCACGTGTGAGCCCGAGCAGGCGCGGCTCCACTTCCTCCAAAACCCTTCGTGATTAAATGATCGCCACTAGCCCAGCAGGTCGGTGTGATGCTCCAGCCGAGCGCTGCTTTGACCCCCCCAACCCTTCGACGAGAGACGGACGTCCCAGTGTGCCCAGCGCGCTTCTCCCGCGTGCTCTTAGCATGTAAAATTATGAAGGTTCATCAGGTCCAATCTCCTACTTCCAAAATGTGCTTTCTGCATCACACACAGCCTGCCTGCTCATCCCGAGGCACCGTCCCATTGCAGAACCTGCTTCTGGCATGTTCCCACCCTCCCTTGTCTGGCTTTCTTGTGCATCCTGCTATGTTAAACATCTAGAAATCATCCCACACCAGCTGCTGCTGGAGACCGGAATACCAGCTGAGGAGCAACATTAGTCACCTCTTCCCAGACACTTAAATCAGCACAACCTTTCACATCTCCTGCCTCCGGTAAGAGCCACCCGTGGGTAGCAGAGCAGTCCCGACGCCCGGCGCAGCACGGAGGACGTGGTGGTACTCACTCTGAGGTTGTTCTCCCGGTCCAGGACGATCACTCTCCGATTGACCGTGTGCAGCAGCCGGTCCAGAATCAGCTGAATGTGCTTCTTCACCTTCACCTGAAAGGCACGACATGTTACGGCCGGCCCCAGAGGAGCGGTGCAAACGGGTCTCACTGCTGAGAACCTGCTGCTGCCCTGCACGAGGCAGAGAGGGAGGCCACCGGTGGGCAGTCGCGCGTGGGGAGCGCCACGGTGACCTGCACGGCTGCTATGGCCTGACGCTGTACATGGGAATCACCCCAGGCAGCACAAGAACCGTTGCACAGTCCCAAATCCCAGCCGCTGCAGCTGCGGGGGAGCTCAGCCCCCCTCAGCCCCTTGGAGCAGGAGGCTGGGCAGAGGCTGGTGACGCTCCCTCCTGAGACCAGCACCACCAGCACAGTAGGAATTATTGCAGCTAATGAAAAACAATAACAGGCAAGGGGATTGCAAACTATTTCTAGTTATTCTTCGCATAGGGCCTGGGAGGGCGCAAGCTTCCTCAGGACCCCGTAGGTGTCCCTTCCCTCCTCAAATCAATAGACAATTTGCACCTCTTGAGACAAAGTTACTTCTCTCCATGGGAACAGACCCAGCCTCTCCTGCCAGTCCTCACCTGCAACCCAGGATGCCAATTGCTGTAGGTGTTTTCAGAGTGACTTACTGACCAACAGTAACACAAGTTTGAGAGAAAGGCTTTACAACACTGTTCTCCGACTAAGAGTCTACCTTTGCTAGGACAGACAGTTCTCTCCAGCCTCCCCTTAGTTTTGTCCCTAATACAAGAAAAATTCCCCAGTGACACAGAAGGACTCAAAGCCACTGGAAAGCTGGGTTAACCCTCCAGCTACATGGTCTTCAGGGCTCCTGCAGAAGTTCTATCAGAGTGAACAGATGATTTCTTTCCAAGCAGGTGAAGTCTGCTGACATCTAAGCACTGCTCTGCTGGGATGCCAGACCAGCTCTCTGCCTCTCGGGAGTGGGGCCGAGATGTGTAAGCCGTGGTGTCCTCCAAGGAGAAGCCAGAAACCCTGATCTGGCACCGGTGGTGGCAGCCAGACCCTGCACGGAGGAGACATTCTGCTTCGCGGACGTCTGGAAAGCCCCCAGCTGCACAACCCACCCATGCACAAGCACCAAAGCGATTCCCTCACTCCAAGCCAGGAAACGCCTCTGCAGTTGGAGCCATGGGAGACCTCAGCCAGCAGATGAGCCACGCATGCAGGACCCTCAGCCTTGGTACCAAACAGCTCTGAGACGTGGCCAGCAGCCTGAAGGGAGCATGCTGCTCAGAGAGACAGGCCCAGGGCATCCCGGTAGACAGGAAATCATGAGCTGACTCAGAAGATTCATGATTTACATGAAATAGTGAAATAGAAATCTTGTCAGTTCCAACACAGCAACTACAGGGCACTTAGTCACTTCCCACAGGGATATTGTACAGAGGTACCCGCAATATCTCTGTTCGATCAGGACCACCAGCTGGTCCTGGGACAAGGTGATGCAGTCCCTCATGTAAATATGGGGCTTGGGATTGCTACACTGTCGTCTGCACGCAAACACTAGCCGCACACACCTTCCTGGCAAACGCAGTCGCACAGCTGGGGACGGCTGCTTCGGCACTAACCCGGAGCGGTCACCCAGAAGCAACCCGTAACACAGACAAAGTTGCTTATTAGCTCACACGGCGCTGAGAGCTCATTCACTCAGACTGCGCTTCAGCATCTGCAAAGGGAAGGGCAGTATCCTTGTCCATGAGCACCCTGACCGTCCTCTCCTTAGGGGCTATTTTAGGTTAAAGGATTAAGGCCAAAACCAGACATCTCAAGCATAATTTCCAAGCTCTCCTTTCTGCTCCCTGGGCTTCCCAGTGCCATGGAAATTGAGAAAGCCAAGCCCACACAGCTTCTCTCCCACCCAAGGCTTGGTAGCATACTGTTAACTCGGCTTCCTTATTGCTGTGCTGTAGTTACGACACCCGGGCTGCCCAAGCAGTGCCAGAAAGTGATCACAAAATACAGACCAGCTCTAGGAAAAACAGAAACCCAAGGTCTTGTCAGTCAAGGCTTCACCTGACTGCCCGCCCGTGGGTAAACCACCTCTCCTATATCAGATGCTTCTTTCCACTCCTCCATCCATCCATCAGCTCCCATTGAATCGTCTCCATTCAACAATCTCTCAGACTGCCTGGACTTCCAAACCCCACAGCTGTAGGAACATGCTTTGATTTAAGGATTTCAGGACCACTGAGACCCCAGAGCACAGAAATCCTAACCTGTCCCCCACCTTTTGCATGCGAAGTCCTCTCTCCATGTGCAGAGGTGCCATCCATGCCTTCAGTAGCCTTTCACTGGCCGGTAAGTCTTTTACATGCCTAGCACGCAAATCCTTGTTTGCATCTGTGTCACCTTCCACAAGAAGTGCATCAGCCCCCGTGCAGGAAAGCTAAGGCAGGAAAACCTAGGAGCAACCATGGTCATCTCGCCTCTTCCTACCTAAGTGTACTGAAGTCTCATTCTGGCTGAATGAGGATCGCAGACCATGACAACACTCAGCTTCATCTCTGACTTAAAATAAGTTCTTTGCCCCCTGGCTTCTATTCCCAAACCTCCTAGTCAAGTCCACGGTCAGCTTCTCTCTGCCAGCTTTACACTTTTTGGTCTCTGAAGAGACTTTTTTTCCCCCAGTCAAAAACTGTAGTGATGAGATTTTTCTGTAGAAAATCCCAGCTTGCTATTCAGCTCTCAGATATGCCTGGAATAAAGCAGTGCAGGCTGATTGCCAGGAAGCATCACTGGTTATTCTGTTTATTCTGCTCGCCGCAGAAGATCTACTTTTCAAGAGCTGATTTGCTGCTCCAGTAACGAGATGTGCAAGGCGGGACAGCTGCCGTGACAGCAGTCACCAAATTAAGTGCAAGTCTCAGCTATATCTGTCTGAGGTGTACAAAAACGGCACTGCTAAGTTTGCTAAACACTGCTTCTTGCAAGTTGCAAGACTCATGTTTTGTCCCTGGGCGCACACTGCATGCTGCAGAAGAGGGTGAGGAGATTGGCAGAGACAGAAGTGACTTTGTGTTTGTCTTTACTCTGCCCAAACATGCGCCGCAGTGGGCTCTACAGGCAGCGTATGCGTCTTGTCAGGACTGCAAGCAAGGAGTAAGTTTTTTGGAGTAAACCACGCATAGATGTGACCATTTTAAATTTCGCCATTTCTGGCAGAGGTGATTGCCCCGGGAAGGACATTTTCACAGGCCGGTGGAGCAGTGAACGGGCTGAGGTGCAGAGAAAAGAGCATCCGCTCTTCAGCGATAGCATTTATATACATCTGCCATGTGAGAGTAAGTGTGGAGGTTATTGATAGCTACAAAAATGAGTTATAATTGATATGTCTGTGCATTTACTGTTTCTCTTCTCTAAGTTGTAAAGCGCACAAATGTTCTTTTTATAAACAGGAAAAAGTTTAACACTTAGAGACAGAAACACAACCTAATTAAAGCACACGATAGGTCTGCGAATCAAGAAAGCTTTGAGGACAGGAGGAAAAGACATGACTCAACTTCCCACACTCTGCAGTAGCATCTCTGCACCATGGAAAAGGAGAAAGGAAAAGGGTGATGCCGCCAGGCAGGGGAGGGAGTCGCCAGGGGAGTCGTGCAAGGAGCTGCGTGGGGCCTGTGACGTTTCACCCAGTCACATGCAACATGACCTCAACCTGAGGCCACCAAAAGTGAGGACAGCACCTCTGACCGAGGAAGTCCCAGAGTCACAAGTTCTGGGAGGTGAGGACATGTCCTGGGGAAGCACCACGTGCGCTTGTCCCGTTCCGTATGCTGCCTCAGGTGCCTGCTCCGGGGCCCTCCTGAGACAGGGTGCAGGACCAGGGCGACCTTCGTTCCCACCCACCGGGGCTGGTTTATGTTCCTTAGAAAGAGATCCAAGAAAAAACTAGGAGAAGACAAATGCAGGTGTTGGTCAGAAATAAAAAGTGACCCCGAATGACTGCTCTGGAAGGCACCAGCAGGCATCTTCAACACAGAGAGGATGACTACAGAAAGAGAAATCCCCAGGGTAAACCTGCCCTGGAGAGAGGCCTTAATTCGCTAGATCTCAGGTACTGGCCGAGGTCCTGTGAAGCATATCCTAGGACAGAGCTTGCTATAGCAAGCAAGGAGGCATTGGGGATGTCATGTCCTGACTTGGCTTGAAACATCCTGGAAGAGGTTGTGCCAGCTAATTCAGACCTCAGCCCGAATAACTGATGAGGTTGGGGGCAGTAACCTACAAGCAAAGCCACGAACATGAGTCAAAGCTTCAGGTGGCTGTTGGTAATTGCCTGCTGTATTCTACCTTTTTGTAAGCTGTTTCCAGTATTGCATGCCCCTGTGTTATCCTTGCACAGGGAGAGCAATATCCTTTGGCAGGGGATCAGAAAAACTCTGTAGGCCATTCTGTACCCTCTGGCTGCTTCCCAAGAGCTATGGGAACCTCACTCTTTCATCACAGGGAACAGAAAGGGTCAAAGACCACTTGTAAGTGCAAAACGAAGCGCTGAGGACTCGGGCAGGGGGCAGAATGAAGGTCTGCGCACAGACATCCTCCTTCTCGCTGTGTGAGCACAGGATATTAAGTGGCTCATAATACAGCTTAAAGCCACACAGATTGCACACACGGACCTCCCCCAGTGAGGGCACTTCCCAGTCCTGTCACCCCATCGCTTCCATAAAGCGTCTCCATCCTTGCCAGCAGCCCAGGTCCCCACACATTGCAGTCCAAGAGAAAGCAAACGGGTGTGCAGCCGTGGTGAGAAGCAGATGAGCCTTGCTGGAAGGCGCAGGGGTGCCTGATTCCTTCTTCCCTTCTGCTGCATTTCCAAGCCCGCCAAAGAGGCACTCACCAGCTCTGAGTCACCGTGCTCCTTGTGCCGTCCCTTGCCTCCACTGTGCTGCCTGCTCTGCTCCTCTGCTCTCTGGAACAAACAATACCAAAGACAACGCCCCGTAAAGTCGGGCTAAGATCCAGCAAAGATGACACATTTCCACCAGAGGCTATCTCAAGGACAAGTCAGTGTTTACCACAAGCATTTCCTTCTGCCAACACATTTTCAAAATAGTGCCTAGCACCCTCTGTTATCCAGAGGAGAGATGCTGTTCTTCTGTGGGGCTGTGGGTAAAGCGCTCTGCTTTAGGCAGGAAAGACAGGGATAACACATCTGCACCAGGATTTCAGCAAACCGTGTTTCCTCTCTTCCGCAGGCTGCCTTGCACATTTATGTGGTAAGATACCCACAGTGGGGACTGTGTCTAATTAGATGTGTGGCCCACTGAACCCTAAGTTTCAGCTGGACCTATGGATCATCATAACTCAAACAACAAATGAACAGCATTAATTCAATTTCCTTGATTTTGTAAACCATAGCAGCTGGGAGGCTCCTTCGGCGAACCTGCAGGGAAGGGTTTCACCACTGGCAGTTTGCAGACATGGTTAGAGAGGCGCTTCCACCGGAGCACGAGATCCCCATGCCTCTGATTCCCGGTGGGCTCCCCGCCATCCCAGCGCTGTCCAGGCCACCAGTATCTCGGCTGTGGGATGCACCCCTGGACTGCCATCTCACAGGGCTTTAGCTCACATTCGATGGCTGTCATTTTTAATTCAAGAAGGTAACGCTTCCCTGGTGCCATCAGGCAGTAGCTGACTAGTTGCTTTCTCCCCTGTCCTCTCCTTTCTCTGAGGTTTGCAGAGTGAGGCGATCATGAGGCACAGCCATGATTATACGTACTTGCTCTCTGGTCAATATTGTTCCTTAGCTTGAAGGCCTCTTCCCCCAACTTATGTAGATTGATGTGAACTGGTAATAGACTAAACAAGGCTGGAAATCAGAATGTTTTTACTGTGAGCTTGGGCAGGTTCTTGCTAGGACCAGTGGGCACCAACAACCCCGTTCAATTTAGGGTGAAGCATGATTAGTCCCAAACATATCATAGTTGTGACCAGACTCAGTAATTTGGGACGTCCCATCTCATTGCTGTGTTTCCAGGTTTTCTCTTATGAACGAGTTTTGTGCTTAGCCCTACTCATATGTATTTAGTCAGATGATTTCCAAGACCACTGCTGAAAAGGGAATAGGAGCCAGCTAAGAACCAGTAGAGAAGACGGTCTTTACCTTCTGGGCCTTGTACAGCACCTCCAGGATGTTGCTAAGCAGCTCGATACAGGCGTCTTCCTCCTCTCCCCTCTCAATCAGCTCCTGGAGGACGGACACGGCCGTGTGCAGCAGCATCTCCCGGCACTCTGTTGGGGCAGATGGAGGGACACAAGGCTTCATGGACAGTACCAGTACCTCCCCAAACGGGGAAGGACCGAGCAGAAAGGGGACTAATAGGACAGACGTTACGCTAGTCTATTCTGCACTCTTGCATCTCAAGTTTACAATTTCCTCCTCAACTGCAGCAGATTTTTTTTTTAGAAAAACATTAAATCCTAATGGAAAGGTTCCAAAGCAGAGAATTTACCACGCCCTCTATAACACAGCTATTACTCTGCTAAAATAAAATGCTGCCAGCACGTGCAGACGACGCAGTGATGGCAGTAGAAACCCTCCCATGGGTGAGGGCTGAAGAGGACCCACAGCTCCATTTCTGCCCTGTCCTGGTGTGCCAGCACTCAGCGGCCTGGGACAGCCCTGGGCAGACCCCGCGGCACGTCCCACGCAGCCCCCGGCTACAGGCTGCTACTCTCATCCACACATCAACACCCATTCCCTGCCCTCTCGAGCGAACTCTTTGTTTCTCCAAGGACAGCCAACAGCCAACAAGAAAAGCCAGTGGCATAGCCCTACTTCATGTCTCCTTTGGCTCCCATGGGGACAGAGCCCCTTCCCTGCTGCCCTTATCGCCCGCTGGTTTAAGACAGGACATGATCCTTCATGCAGTCGTCTCCAGGGCTGCGGCAGGATGCCCAAGAGGCTGAAGAGGAGAGTGCGCATGGGACAAGGAAGATATTCATGTATACTTTAAACTTCTCTTGCACTATAAAACAGAAATTCAGTCATCATTGTGAAGGAGAAAGGTTGGACTCATCAGTCCATGGAACAGGACCTCACCCTATCTTTTCCAAAAGTCTGGTCATCCCGGACTGTTGATCTCAGACTTGCAATACTGGGGACATTGGTGACCCAAATGTCTCTCGTGGCAGCTAGCACCACGAGTGGAAGATCAGACTGGAACATTTGTGTGAAGTATAGGACACTGGGATTTTATCACAGAATCACAGAATGGTTGAGGTTGGAAGGGACCTCTGGAGATCATGTGGTCCAACCCCCCCTGCTCAAGTAGGGTGACCCAGATCAGGTTGCCCAAACAGTGTCCAGTCAGGTTTTGAATATCTCCATGGATGGGGACTCCACAACCTCTGTGGGCAACCAGCTCCAGGGTTTGATCGCTGTTACAGTTGTCAGGATGCTCTCCAGGAACCTCCTGGGTGGCTTGTACCCTACTGTGCTGTCTTTCCAGCGGATATTGCAGTGGTTACAGTGCTCCATGAGGACCAGGGCCTGCAAACCTGGCCGCTGGCCGGGGAGAGCGCGGCGGAGGGCTGGCTGCAGTTTCACGAAGACGGGCTTGGTGGTGACGGTGTAATTAAGGCTGGGTTGCCAGGACTGCTTACGGGAGCACCCAGAGCAAAACGGATCAATTAGTTCCCCACAGTGACATGATCTGTGGCACTATCTGCATAAACACATTTTTGTGAGAGAACTATTAAAAATCAGCTTTGAGGCCGGCTGCACCACTCTCGCTTCTGGGCTTTCTGTAGCCATCCTGCCACTGTGGGTAATGGCCGTTTGGATGTGAAAACAAGTTAGCTTGCGAGTGAGTCTGCCAGGCAATGAGGTTTCAGTAAGCTGGGACTTATCTAATCGATGCTTTCCTCAATGATGAACGCACTTGCCCTCCCCAAACCACATTGCAAATACTATTTGATAGAGGAAAGATATTTACAGTCGTAAGACTTGCAGGTCTCTAATCCTTGCAATTGCATTTGGGACCTTAAGCCTGCGACTGCGTTGCACAGCTGTCTTTTGTGTCCAAATGTAAAGTGCCTTAATAGTCTCCAGGCTCCAGTATTACTTTTAGTTGTGTCAGAAATGAGGCACATTAGTTTGGCTTTAAACTGATTGTGTTTGGCTTTCATTGAAATCTCTTTCAATTTTCCAAGTATTTACAGAGCTTTGGTGGTCAAAGAAACCAGACAGAAGGTTTCATAGCAGAATTTTCATACACATTGAGAATCTTTGTGGAAATACTGAAATCTTAGATTTTACCAACTAAGATGTGTGTTCTTCCTCATTCATGCAGCTTCAAAAAAAGCATCTGTTACATGATTCTGAGTATTAAATTTGACCCTATGATGTTGACAGCTCATGTACTTAGGATGACATTTGCTTAGCCATTCTTCTAGTTAATTTCTAGAAAGGAGTCAGACACTGTTATTCTAACCTTTCATCAGCACTTAGAAGCATCAAACCCATGGTTACACATTACAGGCTTTTACACTTCTTTTTACAGTTGCTTTTATACCCAGAACAGCCATTTAACTGTGTGTAAAAGCTTGTGGTGTATGTAACGGTAGGTTACACAGAGACAGACTATGGACCGTGTGTTGTACAAAAGCAAGGGGGAAACACAGACTGAAAGACTGTACAGGATAAAAGGGGTAACAGAGGGGCACAGAGGAGAAAAGCAAGGGGGACAGAGGAAGAAATCTGATTTGGTTTGACAGTCTGTTTTCTAAATCTTAAAAATGGAATAAACTGACAACAAGATCTTTCCTATCACTTAAATCCTGACTGATGGAAGTCAGAGGGAAAGGAAATTTCCCTAGGAACTGGGTTAAGTTAGTCATGTAAACCCAGCATCTCAAAAGTATTTATACACCTAATTCCCTATGAAGCAAATGAATTTAATTTAAGTCTCCTTGTGCCCGAGTTCATCATCTGTGAAATAAGGAGAAAACATGGGGAATAATAAATTTCTGTGATCAAGACTGCATCAGTGTGATAGGGAAACTGAAAGTGCGTTCTCCTGGATAGACAGTAAGCTCCAGAGGGAGGTCTATACAGTCCCTGAAGCTAGCACTGAAATCAAATAAAACTGCTAGGGCAGACCAGAGTCCAGCCAAGAAGCCAGTGCATCTCTGCCACTATATTCCCTCTAGCACCATGCGTTTCAGATTCTGTTGTTTGGCAGGAAAGGATACAGACTCAGAGACTCACAGAATAGTTGAGATTTGGAGGGACCTGTGGAGATCATGTGGTCCAACCCCCACCCTGCTCAAGCAGGGTCATGCAGATCAGGTTGCCCGAACAGTGTCCAGTCAGGTTTTCAATATCTCCATGGATAGGGACTCCATCACCTCTCTGGGCAACCGGCTCTAGTGTTTGATCACCCTTAACACTTGTCAGGATGCTCTCCAGGAACCTACTGGGTGGCTTGTACCCTGCTGTGCTGTCCCTCCAGCAGATACTGCAGTGGTTACAGTGCCCCGTGAGGACCAGGGCCTGCAAACATGAGGCTTCTTCCAGTTGTCAGAAGAAGGTCTCACCTGCTTCTTCTTCCTGACCAGGTGGCTTGTAGCAGACGCCCACTATAACATCACCCATACTGCTCTGCCCCCTGATCCTGACCCATGGGCTCTCAGCTGCCCCTTGCCGTCCGCAGGAAGAGCTCCCGGCGTTCCTGCTGCTCTCTCCACCAAGGACAACTCCCCCTCCCACCCTCCCAGCCTGTCCTTCCTAAGGAGCCTATGTCCACCCAGAGCAGTGCTCCAGTCGTATGAGCTGTGCCTGAGCCCGTGCCTGAGCCTAAGGAAGCTCAGACTTACGTCCCACCTCCCACCGGAGCGCCCCGGCCACCAGCACACCAGCTACTCAGGGAGGACGCTCTCCACTCCAGCGAGCATCTGTGGGCACGTCACCAAGTGCAAGCAAGATAATGCATAATGCAAACCGTGCAGGCATTCCCTGCAGGAGGAACCGGAGCGTGCTCCCCGGCTGGGAGCCCTGCTGGCCACGCCGCAGCAGGGGTGGCCCTGTCCCTCCGCACGCCAGGCTCAGCAGGGCAGGAGGGACTCAGGGAGCACTCACAGAATTACAGCGGTTTGCAAAACAGAGCCAGAGAGGGCAACGGGGTCCTGCCATCCGCCTACTCGGCAGCTGCATTTTGACATGTGTTGCCTGCTCCTAAAATCTGCACGGACAGAGGTATAGAACTGTTCCTGCTCTCACAGACAGTTCTCCATGGCTAACCTGAGCTTCCTCTCTTGCAGTTTAAGCCCATAACTCCTGGTCTGGTTCTCCTTCTCTTTGAAGATGCCATTTGGATATTTGAAAGCTTATCCTGTCTCCCTCCAGCACCCTTTCCTACCCCAAGTCCTTCAGTCATTTCTTTCACCTCCTGTCTTCCAACCTCTGATTTGCTCACTGCTTTCTTCTGGACTCTCTCCAATTTAACTACAAGTTTCCTGTGGCATCCAAAATCGCATATAGCCATCCACCCTCTCCTGCAGCGCTGCTGCCTCACTGTTCCCCATCCTGAACTTGTTCCATCAATTGTTTTTACCTAAGCATTTGCCCTAAGATTATTTTAAATTCTGAACCTGTCCTCCGGTATGTTTACAGTCCCTTCTGCCTTGGTCAGCGAAAATTTAACAAGCCTACTCTCTTTTTCATAATCTAAATAACTGCTAAAATTATCAAATAGTATTAGACTCAGGACAGACCTGAGGAATCCTATTCAGCATGTCCTTCCAGTTCGACAGCAAATCACTGACAACCTCCCTCTGAACATCATTCCTAAAACATTTCCACCCCCACTGCATATTGCTTCATCTAGCCCATATTTCCTTTTGCAACTGGACAATATCTAAAACAGTAAGAGAAGTGACTAAAACAGTGATGGCTGCATACTAGTAAAGGGCTCGGTAATGTATGATTTTTGACTGTAAGAGTTTGCCTCTTTCTGCAGATCTGACCCCCAAAAACACTTGTGTTATCCAAACACCAGTGAAAAGGCAGCGAATGGGGAAATACCTGCTGCAGGAACCCGTACTGTGCCTGCGCCCCGGCTTTGCTTTCCCAGGCAGGATCCTCCCCCGGGAAAGCTCAGTGCTGGGCTGTGCTGCGGGGCCCGCCGAGTGCCCCTTCTTACCGTAGGACTGGAAGATCTTGCTGTTGACTATGTCCGTCAGGGACTGCAGCTTCTGCTTCAGCAGGCGCTGCGGAGGCAGGTTCCCAATGAAATCCCGCAGCAAGCCCCTACAATCCCGAGAAAAGAGGGTTCAGGTGTTAAAACAGAGGGCTGCCAAGAACCACAGGCAATCTGCCGTCCCTAACGTTTGCAGTCTCTTTCCGCTCAGAGAAATTACACAGGTGGGGGGAGCCGGCTGTTGTTTGCCTTTTGGCCAGGACAGGGCTAGGAGAGAAGCTGCTCAGAGCCCGCAGTGCTGTGCTGGAGGGCTGCTGGGTGGGATGGCCCCGTCGTACGAAACCACGAGGCAGCCGCCTTGCCCCTTCCTGCAGCAGATGGCTGTACGGGGATGCCCCCTGTAAAAGCCCCCAAGAATTTTTGCATTCTCATAAATTCCTGTCAAGGACACGTTTGGGACTGATGTTTTTCCAGGCCCAGCCTCTGCCTAAAGGGCAGGCTACTGGAAAAGATTGAAGAAAATCCTTCCTTATTTTTGCATTGAGAGGTAAGGAGATACTTTATATGCATCAGAAAAAACAGTTCCATTTTTCTGAGCAGCAGCCCTTACAAACAGCTGAAACACTGAACGTGTCCAAACTAGCTGACACCAGTCCTTTGGGTGGGAGGCTCCATCTGAGGCAAAATCCAGTCTGAGATGGAAACTGCTTTGCAGAGTCCTCTCAGCTGGGCCCATGTGCTACGTCTCCATCTCCCACATGTCCCAGGGTGGTGGTGGGCTGCTCCAAACCTGTGCTCCGATTCCCCCTCCGCGGCCCAGAGCCCTCCACGAGCCCTGCCGTCGCACAGCCCCGGCCGAAGGGGAATTGTGCAATGGGAAACGCCAGCACTTCCGCAAGCCCTACGACGAGTGAAAGAGGCAGCTTCTCCTTCCATAGAGCTGCTCCTTCTGTGCACTCCGGGACTTAATCCAGTAACTTTAGAACAAGGCTCCTTTGGATCCAAAGGATGCTTTTCTGCTATGTTTGACTTTTCTTGGGCTGGCAGAGCCTGCGCAGACTGGAGGAGAGCAGCTGCGTGCTGTGGCCATCACCCCGTCCGTCCCGTCCTGTCCCATCCCGTCCCGGAGGGCTCCCCCTCCACCAGCGCTCCTGGACCTGCGCCGGCCGCACCGGCAGCTCGGGGCCGGGGGGCCAGCGGCCAGGACGGTTCCCACCGCTCCGCTCCGAGCGTCGCCCCGGACTGCGGCTGCTGCGTTCCCTGCTCAGCCCGGCCCCACGTCAAACACTTCACAGTGCGCTCGGCCACCAGGTCCTTCACCACTGCCTTCCTCCGGGAAGGGACCTTCCGCCGGGACCGGTCTTCTCTTGTGGGCCACTAGCATCAAGCCAAGCACCCAAAACCACTACAGTAATATCCATGTATCATTGTAAATAAGGACAACTATTTCCAGTTTTCACTCTGAAACCACAGATGTTCCTACAGTGAGACTATTCAAACACGTGGACCCTCGCTGGTGTTACCTGTAAAACCTCCTAACGCTGCTCACAGCCCTGACGGGGTATCGCTGCTGCCGGGGCTGGGAGCGGGGACGCCGCCGCAGCACCCAGCACCCCTGCGTGAAGGACATTTAGCTAGTTTTTTGGAACAGCAAACACGCTGGCCCCGCTCAAGCTGCCTATCATTCTGCATTAACATCTACTTTGCTATCTTTATGGCTTGATTTAGGTAGCATAAACAATTTGCTGAGCTCTGTTTATCCCTCGATTGGTGAGGCTCTCTGGTCTTTCAGGCTTCCCTGGTCTTTGAAATATCCCAAAAGTGGAGACTGGGACTTTCAAAGAAGCCCAAGGGTTTTGGGCACCCGAGTGTCAGATACGGTATCTGACAGAGTTTTGCATCTTTAACAGCTATGCTTTAGTAAGGTTCAGTTCCTACAGGTTTATACACGTTTGACCTCTACATAATTCAGCTCCAAGAATTTTTTGCCCAATGATTTCTGCATCAAGCCCATAGTTTCTCTCTGAGTTACAATAAGAGTTTTAGAAAGCTGAGGCTATTGCAAATTTGCATAGCTTTAAAAAAAGCCTGGACAAATTAACATCAGAAGAATCCACCAAAGAACATTAAATATAACGATTACCACAGCAGACTTGGGAACTCCCTGAACCACAGTTTTGCTGGAGGCCCGGGGGAAGGATGAGAACGTGCGCCTTGTTCTCACACTTCTTGGGCGCCCACCATCCACATCAGCAGGCGACAGGCCGGGTGGATCCTCAGCCTGAGCCGGATGGCTGCACTGCTGCCAGGATCCCTGGTCTCGGTTAAAAACGTGAGAAAGACAGACGCTGCCCTGCCTGGAGCAGCCATCCGGCCCCGGGACGTGGTCCCGCCTTCGGTGCGAATTCGGCAAACTCCAGCCTTTCCCTCGCTGGGTTTCGCGCCTCCTTTTCCCGCCGCATTAAGCAATTCCCTAGCGGCGATTTCGCCCTCTGTAGGTACGCGAAGGCGGCCCAAGCTCTCTGCTAACCTCCTCTAGAGAGACGGCACTGTGTTAGCTTTAGTCAAATACAGCAGACCCAAGTAATTTCTGCAGCTCCTTCCAAACTCCTTTCAGGTGTTTAGATGCTGGCTACAAGCGAGGACAATAAAATTGCTCTGCACGCCCGGGGCATGTCCCCAGCCCCTGTGCCCCTCGGGAGCCGGCAGCGCCACGAGAGGCCTTTTCCCCACCGCCTTTCGGGACGCCTACCAGCGCCGACTGCCTCCTCCAAGCTGCCTACCAACAAACAAGAACTGCTGAGCCCAGAGCTAGTTCCTCTGGGAGCCAAAGGCAACACCCATCCCAGCACGATGGCTCTCCACTTATAACTACTTTTTTTCAGGACTAAGAAGATATATATAAAGAAGATTAAAAAATAGTTCTTTTATTAAACTTATACACTGCTAATTTTAATATTGTATCAAGTCAGACAGTTGTTAAAGTCTTGGGTATTATGCCAGTTATCTTTCTCAGTCACCATCGCAACTTCAGAAAAAGTAGCAGCTAAATTTGATTTTTTTATTAAACTCCATGTTTAGTAAAGCTGGACTGATTAATATCAATTATACTGCTATCCTTTAATTCTTTACTGATTGCATCCTTCCCATGACTAAGCCAGGATCAATGGTCAGTTTATTTGGCCTACAACTAGCAAGGTCATCTTATTCACCCTTTAGAAGAGGAGATGACATCAGAATTTTTCACATTCCTCAGGAATTTCTCCAGTGTTACAGGACTTCTTAAATATCAGCATCTATGGCTCAGAAAGGATTTCTTCCAGAACTTGGTTCTGGTTTTTATTTTAACTGCTGAGGTAAATTGCCTAGTCTTGCAGATTTGAAAATATATTGCTTTTACCATTGAGGATTAACCGCCTTCTACTGATTTTTCATAGCAAAAGTATGCCAGCTTGACCATGAGCTACAAAACACAGTGTCTGATTTCTTTCAAAGTAAAGAACAGAAATATTTTTTCAAATCAACTGTCTTTTCTGTGTCATTGCTGACATTTTGTCAGACCGAAAGCGTTACAAAGCTGGATAATTGCTGGGCGTTTGCCCCCGAGGGGGCCGGGAGAGCGGGAACAGTGAAGCCGGACCATGGCGGAGGGCTGCAGCCCTGGGATGGGCAGAGAGACCCCACGACCGGCGCAGACCTCTGCACCTAGGTGCATGTCATCGTGACCCTCGTGCTTGCACGGTACGGGTTACAGGTCGGCATGTAAAAGCCACATCTTGAAGACCACAAGGGAAAACTCAGAACAAATGTACAGAAGCTCTTAGTGTGCATCCCCCTCATGGAAACAGAGTCCACTGAGTTGGGCTGTAAAACGCAAATGTAAAGGCAAATATTCAGAGTGGCCGCATGTGGTTGAGGCCATCTCCTCCACTCGACCCCGTTGAGCTGCACCGCGTTCAGATCGACGCTGAAGGAGGACTGAAGGAAGCAGGTTCTCCTTCATAAGACATTAACAGGGGGAGACATACATCCATTACTAATAGTGATCTGATGGAGGAGTCTATCTGGGGACGCCCACCTGCATGCAGGGTATTCTCCAGGCGCTGGATCCAGCTGTCAGAGCTAGTTCAGCTCCCGTGAAGCAAAGACCCATGCTGGGAAGCTGTATGGTGCTCTGCTCTTTCTTGCTCAGTGTCCTGGCAACTGACGTGAGCCCAAGTGTTTACAGTCGGGAGCTCAATCCCACCTCGAAATTCAATTTTTTTAGGTGCAGAGAAAATCAGGGCTCTAGGAGGGAAGCAGTGGGATGAGCAAAGCTCTTCTCAAGGGCTCTCTTGCTATGAAAGGGAACAGTTGCAGGCAAAAGCACTCTTATCTCCTGGCTGGAGACCAGCAAGGCAGCTGCATGCAGGGAGTGGGTAGTCTTCCACCTCCTTTCACATCAAAGGCACCCACCAAATCACAGTATTTATTAGGGAAGCTGGAGAGGTGTGGCTGAAGAGCTGTTCCCACTCTCTGGCCTAGGACCATGCCATAGATTCATCCCTGGCCCTGTCCTGATTTTAGCTCAGGGAAGCAGACCTGACACTACGCAGTTACAAGAGACTCAACCTCCTTCCATTGCACAAAGTAGTCAAAATAGTACAAAGCCCCACAGCGTGAAGCAGTCCAACAAAGGACTGGCTTTCTCCACAAAACAGGTGGCCTTTTCAAGACTGTTCCAGCTAACAAGCTATTATCAGCTCTGCCTTGGTCTGATCAGAGACTTGCAGCTTTAACAAAAAGAGTAGGCAGAATTAGGTGAAACTGCATGACACCAACCACTAACAGATCTTTTGGGTATCACCTTCCGCTACTGGATGGGAGCTGGTCCTCTCAGGTTTAGGAGCCATCAGCTGGGTTTTAGGGGGTCTGCAAGCTCTGTAAAGCAGCTACAAAGTCCACATGCAAGACTAAGAAAACAATATGTTTTAAGAATACACCATCAGGTCTGGATAGTAAAACCCTGCAGTTGGGGTCCAGCAGGAACCAGTGTGGGAAACAACACAACAACTGTGGACAGGGTAAGCCAAGGCCAGGAAACAAGCACAGGAGACCACTAAATGAGACAGCAATGTGTACACCTTGTGCAAGGCTTATCAGAGGAGCGAGGAGTGGCAGCATGAGGCTGGGCACATGGACCCAGGCTGAGAGAGGAGGTGCATGGGATCTTGCTGGGTTAGCAAACATGGAGCGGCACTTCCGAAGACCACTCTCCCAGCCTCCAGCAAGCTGTAGATCAGGGCCTCTTGAGTCAGAAATGTCTTTGTATTTAAATAACCATGGGTGGATTTTTCTTCCACAGATCTGACAGCTGTCCTTGAACTGGCGGAGTTACAGACCACCGCAAGGAGCTCTACAGACCCACGGCACGCTGCATGAAGAATCACCTTCTTTTGTTTGTTCTGAATCAGACACCTACCGGGTTCATTAGATGCTCCCTCTTTCGCGAGTTGGACGAGACCATGAACAATTCCCTATTCCTTTCTCCAGTCACACATGAACCCACAGCTCTCTGTCCGATCTCCCTACCCATCTCTTTTCCAGGAGGAAGAGGTCTGACCCAGACAGGTGATCCATGTGAAAGCTGGCCCAGACATTTGGTCCTCCTTTGTTGGGGCTGTTCCAGACTGACTCTGTGTGCTCTCAAAGGTGGATACCAGACTGCACATGACATTCAAAACACAGATGCACCATGGATTTATACTGCAGCAAATAATATTTTCTGTTTTCTTCTTGATTCTTTTCCTAATATTTCCCAACTTTTAGCGAGCATTTTCTGATCAGTGCTAAGCACTGAGCTGACGTTGCCATAGCACTATCCGTTATAGTCCCAGGTCTCATCCATGGTGTGTTAGTCAGCTCAGAGCCCATCATCGTGCATTTAAAGTTAAGGTGCTTTTTTGCTTTTAAAACCACTTTCTGATTTTTACTTCCATGCTGAATAATTTCATCTGGGCATTCTATCACCCAGTGAAGCATTTTTGCCAATGACCTTGAGAGAAACCTCATTACTGCTAATGTTTGCAGATCACACAACAACACAGTTAGCAGTTAGCAATGAGGAGGATGAATTACTGCAAGGAAGAGACCTGGATGACATATCATGCTTGGTGCGAGTAAACACTACGTACTGCAAGGCAGCTAAGTGCAAAGCCATGCATTTAGAAATAATAAATACAGGCTACATTTGCAAAACTGATAACTTCTAAGTTGGCAACCAATGACTGAAAATGACCCGGGAGCCCTGGTGGGACGTCAACATAAGAACAGCAGTGATGTCGCCCAGCTCTGATTAAACGAGCTCCTCTTTCATTGCCACCCTCTAAGGAGCCATCGCAAAGTCCTCAGGCAGTTATAAGATTTCTGAGTCAAAGTATGCACATCTCCGGACTGCTCAAAAGAGACACGAGCAGATGGAATGTCTTTAGGAAGGATCTTGTCCTGCTACTGCAAAATAACACGGCACAGAGTGCGCAATGCAGCCCGAGCTGTGCCAGGGCAGGACTTTGGAGACAGCATGACCATGGCATCTAGACTTACTTGAAACTTGGGCAATACCTTAAGTAAGGACCTGGTATGAGTTCTAAG